TATATATGTTAGAAAAGTACAAAGAGCAATTAGGGAAAGCGAGAGCTCCTGTGGGCGGGAGAAGAGCGACATGCTTCTAGAAGACTCCAGTGAGGTCTCATCTGAACTGCTGATGTTTGACTGTTTCAGTCTGAGGAATCAGATGGTGTTCCTCATGGTAATCTTCTTCATTTCTTTTTGATGCCCCATATATCATACTGTGATTTTTTTATTCTACCTAATTTAAATCAAAATTTCAATCTTATTCACTTTAAAGCATCATCCCATTCCACATTTCATAAACCAACAACTCAGAAACTTGCAGTAGAGTAGAAAGAATGAGTTTATCTTTTTGTTTCTTTTTTTTCACTCTTCCAAGTCAGAGTCCTTGCAGGAAGAGGGAGAGCAGGAGGAAAGCAGAGAGGAGGGGAGGAGAGGGGACAGGTGTTGAGGTAGTGAAAAGTCCTACTCACTGGTTGTAAGCCTCATCCCACAGAGACAGATGTGGGTGGTTTTAGGGTTTCCTCCTAGTTCCTCCTGGTAACTGCTCACCTGCTTGTGTTTTAAGGACTTTGCACTGCACAATTACTTGGTTCACAAGCTTTCTCATCACTGTCATCAAAAACCCTGAGAGAGTAACTTGAAGGAGGAAGTGTCCATTTGGGCTCATGGTTCTGGTAGTTCATCCCATGGTTGCATGACAACAGGGGCTTGATGGCAATGGAATCATATAGCAGAAGGGCTACACTTCATTGTGAACAAGAAGTGGAGAGAGACAGGAAGGAGTCAGGGACAAGATACCCCATGGATAACCTACTGCTTCCAGCTAAACCCCACCTCCTAATATTTCTAAAATAGCACCTCTAACTGAAGGCAGGAGTCTCCCCTGATGTTCAAACATGAGACTACAGGGGAGATTTCATATTAAAACATCACATCTGGCAAAATGCAGTGCACCCTCTGGGTGACCACTCAGTTCTCAGGCCCTAGGATGTAGTTCTGGGGTCCTCTCTCCTAGGTTCAAAGGTTACCTCATCTGACAGGCAGGCTTTTCAAGACAGGTCAGTCTCAGCCACCTTCCACAGTGTCTACTCTGGATTCACAAGAGACAACATACTTTGCCTTGCCAACTCAGCAAAGGCAGGACACATTCTCCAGAATCTTCTCTTTCTGCCATTGGGCAACGGCAGCCAATCGCCCATATTTAGGCAAGAGTTACACACTAGACTATGTGATGAACAAACTGCCCAGGACACAGCTCAGCATCTCCATGGAGTCCATTTGATGCCCCCTGAACCTTGGTGGTACTCCTCCTTCTCATGTAAGCCCACTCATTATACTCTCTACAGGAATATTTCCAACTGGTCTGCTCAAGTCTAGCTTCTCTGTGCAGACTGAAGGAGGGCGAAAGCCCACTAAGGGCAGAACAGTTTGGATACCCCTCATGATAACATGACTCTTCTTTTTACTCTGTTGAGTGCAGTGTTGCCTGCTGATCTCAGCAGCAACTTAAAAATAGGGGGGAAAATCCACTAAAATCTTGTTATGCAAATAATGCTTCCAAAACAAGGTAGCTGTAGGCAAACTTGATTCTGTAAAAAGCAGCTCTTTCCAAGAGACCAAAAGAGCAGTTCTCATATATATCACTAAGGGACTCAAAGATTAGGAGGGATACATAGGACTGGTTTTCTGTGCACAACACTATGTAAGTATTTGTACAAACCATGTATTCTATTTTCCTTTCTGTTGCTGTGATAAAAAACTCTGACCTAAAGCAACTCAGGGAAGGAAAGGGTTTACTTAACTTACACTTTCAAGTCACAGTCCATCAGCAATGGAAGTCTGGGCAGGAATTCAAGAAAGAAGTTGAAGCCAAAACCACAGAGGAATGCTGCTGGCTGGCTAGCTCACAGGCTCGTGTTTAGCTAGCTTTCTTACTCAGCCCAAGACCATCTGCCCAGGGAATGGTGCTGCCCACAGTGGGCTGTGCCCTCCTCTATCCATTAACAATCAAGACAATCCCCCATAGACATGCCCACAGGCCAATCTGCTCTAGGAAATTCCTCAGTTGAGGCTTTCCTCTCACAAGACTCTAAGCTGGGTTGAGTTGACAACTAAAGCTAAGCCCGACACCATGTTTCTGTGCAGTGAGGTTCTCTGAAGAAACCACACGTAGACTGGAGTCTGCAGACTGACCTTGGCTGAATAGAACGTGATGGCTGTGGAGAGAAGGAAATTTCAAATCAAGATTCAAACTACCTTGGGTTTTTGGATGTTTGGTCTCTTATGCCATTTACTATCAGCCCCTGTATCTGACCTAGCTTTAAGGAGGGGACTAGATAAAACTTGTGGAAAATATTACTAAGCTTCACAGACCTCTAGCCTCCACCAGCCCCAAAGCTAAGAATGCCATAAGATAACATCTGGAGTCTGCTTTATTGCATCCCACCTGCCTGATGCTCCCAGTGAAGTGTATTGGTTTATGACTTTATTTTGCTCTGTGGCTATAAAAGCTCATGTAACCTCATCCAGGGGAACATGTCATTCAGAAGCATTTGAACCTGTGTTTCTGGGGCCGTGTTCATTCACATTTGGCACAGAACAAACCATTTTCTTATCTCCTTTAAAGCAGAATTGTAATTTTACATCAACATTACCCACTATGTTTTCCTTTTAACAGGTTTCCGTGTCCAGCTTCTGAAATTAACCTATTTTTGTTTGTGTTTGTAGTATTTCAATATTTGTATTATTACTGTGTGTATGTATGCATGATCTAGAGGGGAGGATACATGTGTGAAGGTCAGAGGACAAGTCCGTGGAGTTATTTCTCCTTTTATCTTTATGTGAATTCTGTGAACCCAGCTCAGGCCCCCAGGTTTGCACAGCAAATGCCTTTCTTTACCCACTGAGCTATCTTGCTGGCCCTATTTTGTGGTTCCTTTATATTGATAGAATTCTTGTCATCTGGGAAGTAGATGTAAACAGAAATCCTAAATAAATATTAACAAGTAAAGGATATTAAGCTTAAAGTAAAGGATATTAAGCTATCTTGCTGGCCCTATTTTGTGGTTCCTTTATATTGATAGAATTCTTGTCATCTGGGAAGTAGATGTAAACAGAAATCCTAAATAAATATTAACAAGTAAAGGATATTAAGCTTAAAGGGGTATTTGTTTGTATTGAATTTATATGGAACTTAGCTTAGGTACTATAAGCTACATTCTCTCTCCTTCAAAAAATGTTATTTATTTGCAATAGGTCAAGAAAAGTTTTAAAAATGTGGCAGTTCATGGACCAGTCTGATATTGAGACCATGCGGAGCCTGAAGGATGCCATGGCTCAACATGAGTCTTCCGTGGAATACAAGAAGGTGGTGACCCGGGCCCTGCACATCCCTGGCTGCAAGGTGGTTCCCTTCTGTGGGGTGTTTCTGAAGGAGCTCTGTGAAGTGCTTGATGGAGCCTCCGGCCTTCTGAAGCTCTGCCCACGGTATAACTCCCAAGAAGAAGCTCTAGAGGTAAGCTTTTCCAAGTCAGCAGGCTCTGAGGGTCCCTTTGGGTCCTCTGTGTACTCACTAATGCAACAAGAAATCACTTCCTGAGTCCAGAGTAATCCTTGTTATATTGTATCTGGGTAGCAAGCAGGTTCTTGAAAGTTCTGTAGAAAGCAATGCCAGCTAGCGCTGTTTGGGGCTCAATATTGTTACATTAGGTTTAATGTGACAGTATTAAAACAAAGTAGAAAAGTGTGTTATTTGGTTTAATCTTAAAAGTTAAGTTTCATTCTGAGGCAGAACTGTCTAGATTTAGAAGATAAAGTCAAATGACAGCAATAACTTCCAAATAAGAAGTGAAGAAGTCAACACTCTCTTCTCCTCTTGTGTTGTGGGAAGATGCTGAGGACCCCAGTGCCTCATCCAGACATACTCCAGGCTTTGACCTCTCTGCCTCTACTCTCCCAGGCCCATGGCTTTTACTCTTGACTCCTGAAGAAGTGAAGAGAATGGTGTGAGCTTAACTCAGGACATCAGACACTGAGAGGAAGGCACTGAGCCACTGGAAGGGAGGAAAGCATAAGGCAACCTCCCACTGAGGTGTTCTAAAATGGTCTTTTAAAGTGTGTTATCAGGGCTAGAGCAATATCTCAGTGGTTAAGAGCACTGACTGCTCTTACAGAGGACCCGGGTTCAGTTCCCAGTACCCACATGACAGTTAGCAATCGTCTGTAACTCCAGTTCCAGGAGATCTGATGCCCACTTTTGCCTTTAGTTGGCATTGCACAACATAGGTACACCTACATACATGAAGGCAGACACTTATACACATAAAATAAAAATAGAATAAATAGAAGAAAAAAGAAGCCACTGTCTTCCTATAGGACATACAGGGAAGCCAACAGAAAGGCAGCCTGTTCAGTGGCTTTCTAAAGCCATTTCATGTTCCGTCACAGTGATCTCTTATCATGGTTCTTCTCAGTTCTTACCACATAGATAAAATAACTCTGCCTTTCCTCTGTAAAGCAGCAAATCTGTTCCCTGGGGAGCCCTGAAATAGTACTGCTTTTTATATTATAAATTTTAAAATATGTGTAGCTTCCTAGAGGTGCTGAACTTGTCTCAGTGGACGCAAGTGTGAGTTTTGGTATTTCATGTGGTAAAATTGAAAAAAATGTTTTTTCTAGCTTCTTGTCTTCTTTCCAGTAAAATAGGCACAGATGCTGTTTATTGGTAGTGTGATTCAGTTTCACTAGCCAAGTAGGTTATTCAGACATAGTAAGTTGCAGTAGCAAATTCTTGAACTCTTTTCCTGTAGTTTGTTGCCGATTATAGCGGACAAGATAATTTCTTACAACGAGTGGGACAGAATGGCCTAAAGAATTCAGAGAAAGAGTCCACGGTCAACAACATCTTTCAGATCATCAGGAGCTGCAGCCGAAGCTTGGAGACGGAGGAGGAGGATAGCTCCAGTGAGGGCAACAGCTCTAGGAAAAACTCCTTGAAGGAGAAAACCCAGTGGCAGTAAGTTTGGCAATCCCAAAGGGGGAAGGGAATTTCTTTTCTTTCCTGTTGACTAGTTTTTTCCTACTCAGTTGACTTTCACATGAACACCTAATAAAAACCGATCACTGTTGTGCGCAATTCACACTTATCTTCAAATCTTACCAATTCTGAGTTAGAATTTACCTTTGCCATGTTGCTTTGTTCTAAAATTGCTACTCACAGGACTGGAGAGATCGCTCAGCAGTTAAGAGCACTGGCTGCTCTTGCAGAGGACGTGAGTTTGATTCCCAGCACCATCCATCATAACTCCAGTTCCAAGGGATGTGATGCCCTCTGCTGACCTCCTTGGACATTGTATGATACATGCAGGCATTACACTCACACATAAAAGTTTTAAAAAATAAAAAATATTTGTAAGTTAATAAATTTATAATTTATTACTCACAATTTAACTTTTCCCATATATTTTTCATTTTTAAAAAAGATGAATTCTGTTAGTCTTGTTTCTTAACTGACAGTAAAGCAAAAAATTATATCTATTAATGTGGTACCTGTTATTCCTTTAAAAATACCCAGGCCATCCTGCCATTTAAAACGTCAATGATAAAATTTTCGAGGTTAGAATCTAGATCTTTTATTTACTTCATAATTTTTGTAAGCTCATATAAATCCCTGGGTGAAGTGCTATGGTGGATACTGAAATCTTTTAAAAATCAAATATACTAAAAAAAAAAAACAAAAACAACAACAAAAAAAAAACCAGCTCTGTCTGGACCGGACATGTATCTTATTTTGAGTACACTATGCTGTGGGGAGCTGACATTTTGCAGTTGTTCCATTGTTCCAGTAGCTATATATCTGCAGACCATATTGTCTAGCCAAACATGGTCACCCACAGCAAAAGGGAAGAAGAAAAACCAAGGGATTTGGGTACCCTGTGTCTTTCTCCAAGTCCTTTTGCTCATAGCAGAGCCTGGCCCAAAGAGAACAATACTTTCAGGGTATCCAAAACCCTTAGGTCCCCTGGCTTTGCCATCTTTGCTGTCGAGGTTTTATTTGCAGTCTGTACTGCAGTCTAGTTGTCTTGGAGGCCTTATACATGTGTATGCGTATTTGAAGAACACTGTTGCTTGTTTAGAAAACCTCCTGTTTTGTTGCTGCTGTGTTTTGTTTTTGTTTTACTGGATCTCAAATCAGCGAACACTTTAATGTGTTCCACTCACAAGCTGCTGGCATTAACGGTATTCTGTACACAGAAAGAAAGAGGTCCATCTACAAAGAAGGACATCTCTGACTGGAGAGATGACTCAGAGAATTAAGAGTACTGGCTGCTCTTGCAGAGGACCCAAGTTCGGTTCCCAGCACCCATGCCTAGTGGCTAACAACTATCTGTAACTCCAACTCCACAGGATCCAATGCCTTTTTCTGGCTTCACAGGCACTGCACGTGTGTGCACAAACACACACAGAGACACACATGTTAACATGTAAATAAAACAAATATGGTTTTAATTTTTTTTTTTTTTTTTGGTTTTTTGGAGACAGAGTCTCCCTGTAGCCCGAGCTGGCCTGGAACTCACAGAGATCCACCTGCAACCGCCTCCTGAATGTTGGGATTAAAGGCATGCGCCACCATGCCTGGTATAAAACAAATCTTAAAAATAAAAAAGAAGGACATCTCCACAAGAAGCATCTCCCAGCCATTGAAGTCCTTGATCTTCACATGTTCTGTCTACCAATCCCTCCATATAGGCAGTTCTGCGTGTATGCGCCTCCTCTAAGGATCTGCAGACACTTAAGAGTAAATATGAATCATTGACTTTATTAAGGAAAAGGAAGGTAAGAATCAGAAAAGTAAAACATATAAAAATGTATACCATACAGCCTCTACGGTGACTAAATTCTATTCTGAGATTCTTAGTGATGTTCTGTCTACCAATCCCTCCATATAGGCAGTTCTGCGTGTATGCGCCTCCTCTAAGGATCTGCAGACACTTAAGAGTAAATATGAATCATTGACTTTATTAAGGAAAAGGAAGGTAAGAATCAGAAAAGTAAAACATATAAAAATGTATACCATACAGCCTCTACGGTGACTAAATTCTATTCTGAGATTCTTAGTGTCCAAAGGAAAAGGGGGATCCAAGTTCATTACAACTTTCTTGGAATTT